AAAGTAAATGCAAACTGGAAACTGTGCCTGGCTGCCTGTCTCTGCCTCTGGTGGCTGGAAGTGAGGAATCCACATGAGCACAGTGCCCAGGGTGGAGAACACCAGGCTGCGTGAGGGCAGAGAAGGAGAGGAGGAGCCAGCTGCTGAGTTCCTGCACGAATACCTCGGGAACGGAGTGCACTGCTGGGGGAGGGTGGGTGGTGCCGCCAGGCTTGGGCTGGACTCCAGGCTTTTCTGTGGTCTTCGGCCACAGAGTTCCCAGACTAGGACATGGCCCTCTCTGTGCGGAGGTTCATGGCTTTCCCTGGGACCCAGGTTCCTGAGCTCCCCCCAGAGCCAGGGTTGGGCAGAGTGCGGTACTGGGCTCGCGCTCAGCATGGTGTTGGGGAACGCTTGTGGAAAGACCGGAGAGCCAGCGAGGGGGAGAGGCCATGTAGTGGGATGTCCTCACTCAGGCCAGAGTAGGGAGCATTTGGAGGTGGGGAGAGACCAGTTGGCAATGAGCAAAGCCAAGAGCTGGCGTGGGATTTGCCTGTTGGTGGCCAGGCGTGTTCTTTGAGAGAACAGCAGGGTCAAGGGGAGGAACCAGCCTCAGAGGCTGTGAGGAGTAAGGGGCGAGATTCTGCCCCCCGCCCCTTTTTCAGTCTCCCCCAGACTCTTTCCTTAAACTCTCATCAGCACCACCCAGCCCGGAGAACATACTTCTTTGCCTTCCTCTCCAAGTCCCACCTACAGGCTTAGTCTCCTCAGCAAACACCGCCTGCTTTTGTCTGTCATCTGTCCTGGCGGGAGGGATGAGGGTGTGTGACAATTGTGGGTTGACTGAGGCTTTCTTGTGTGTCCACACAGTGCTCAGTATTGTGCTTGGAAGGTAAGGAAGATTCTGGCACAGCTTTGCTTCAGGAGGCCCTGAAGCAGGGTCTCAGGCTTCAGGGCAGGCCGACCCGAGGCCACGGTCCTAAGGCCATGGCGTGAGCAAGATGAGAAACCAGGGAGCAGGCAGGTGCCCCGTCTGAACGGGGTGGCTGCCACTCAAGTCAGCTGACAGCTTGGGTAGGTTGCCCAGTTTTATGGAGTAAAAAGCACAAATCTGAGAGTTTTCAAGTGAAACCTTCCATTGGCTTGCCAGCCTTGGCCTTTGAGGTGGGGTTCACATTGTGTGCAGGACCCTGAGAGCCACGCATGCCAGCCGGGGCAGCCTGGGACTTGCTGCCTGGGCTCTGGGGAAGGATTTTAGCCAGGGGTGAGACAGGGTCAGACTGGATTTAAAGATGAAGAGAAAACAAAATTACAGAGCCCAGCGCTCTAGGGAGTATGGAAAATCCAGTGCCCCCACTGTGGAGAACCAGCTAGGGGCACTAGGGTCCTGTGTAAAGGGGCTCCGGCCCATTCCTGCCTCCCAGGAACACAAGCCACATCTCCATTTCAGAAGATGCCAACTATTCCGTGAAATTTCTTAATTTAAATTTGGGCTCAGATTTTTAAAAATCTGCTGGGCAAGTAAACGAACCACCAGCCCCCAGCTGTCACTTCTGCCCTAAAAAGGGTGTGTGTGTGTGTATGTGTGTGTGTGGCCCTAGCGGGGGAGACTCTCACACTGGGGAAGCAGTGTGAAGCGGGGTACGGAAGCCAGGTGCCTGCGTTCGGATCGCGGCCCCAGGCCCGGTAACGTGAGCCTAGGGCGGTAAGCCCCCGGGTGCGCCGCAGGTCTGGGAGCACCTCCCTGGACGCTGCCATTGCTCTTACAGTGGAGCGGAGGCGGAGGGACAAGATCAACAACTGGATCGTCCAACTTTCAAAAATCATTCCAGATTGTAACGCAGACAACAGCAAAACGGGAGCGGTGAGTGCCCCCCGGCTCCCTGTCTCCGCACACCCCTTGGACCAGGCCCCCAGCCCCTCGGAGAAAGCCTGCCCGACGTGTCGTCGTCCCCCCCGTCCCCCCCCCCCCCCCCGCCTAGTGCACAGGCGCTGTCCCAGGGGAGGTGGTGGGCGGCGCTCACTGGCACTCTTGCCTGCCCCCACCCCCCCAGAGTAAAGGAGGGATCCTGTCAAAAGCCTGTGACTACATCCGGGAGCTGCGCCAGACCAACCAGCGCATGCAGGAGACCTTCAAGGAGGCTGAGAGGCTGCAGATGGACAATGAGCTCCTGAGGCAGCAGGTGAGGACCAGGGCGGGGCGGGGCGGGGCTGGGGGGACCCGGGTTGGGGGGTGCGGGGAGCCAGCGCCTGGCTCCTCGCACCCTGTCGTGTGTGCCAGATCGAGGAGCTGAAGAACGAGAACGCCGTGCTTCGCGCCCAGCTGCAGCAGCACAACCTGGAGATGGTGGGCGAGAGCACGCGGCAGTGACGCCCACCCCGCCGGGCCGCGGGGGGCTCCTCCGGCCCCGCCGCCCCTTCCCCAGCCCTTAGCACAGAGAGGGGCAAATGCCCCTCCCCCAGCTGCGTTTTTTTATAGTAGATTTTTAACAAAACGGGGAGAAATAATGCATTTCTGTGGATAAGCGCCCACCGCTCTCCTCAACTTGGGAAAGATCTCCTCCTCCCGGCCCCTTCTGTCTGTCTCCCTCCTCCCGGCCCCCAGGAGCCCCAGCACTTCTAGGGAACCTGCCTGGAGGCAAGAGGGAGGAAGACGGAGCCCTGCCATATCCCGCTGCCTCCTTGGTCTCCAGAGGTCCTGAGACAGGGTGCTTTTGGGAAGGAGGGGAGACTTTGGGGGGGGCTATCCCCGGGGCCTGGACCTAAGCAGGGAGGCCATGTCCCACCCCACCTCTTGTTTCTGGATCCCTGCTCCCCTTTGAGTGTGTGTGTGTTTTAATTTTCTTTATGGAAAAGTGGACAAAAAAAATAGAGAGAGAGAGGTATTTAACTGCAATAAACTGGCCCCATGTGGCCCCGCCTTGTCTGTTTGTGTATCTGTCCATCTTGGTCTGGGGAGGGAGCCTGGGGTCTGCAGAGCTCCGTGTCGTGTTCATGGCTGTGTGCCGGGTGCCAGCCCCTGCCGTCCTGTACCCCCTGGGACCCAGTCTGTTGGCTGGACGGTGGAGAAGTTACTGAATGGATATCCTCTTTGAGGCCCCAGGTGTGCATGTGTGGTGTGAAGGCAGGAGGCGCCGGGGTCAAGGACACATCCCATGTTTTTGGAGCAAGAGGCTGGGGTCTCTCCTCTCATCCGTTCTAAAAATAGAACTGGCTCCTGACCCTGCCCTTAAGGGTTGAAGCCCTCCCCTCTGCACCAGCCAATGGTGGGGCCTGGCCTTGAGCCCCCCACCCCCAGGAAGGGCAGATGGCCAGGAAGCCAGGCTTGGCCCGTCAGCCTGTCGCCTCACACTGTGGCTCTGGCGCCTGTACTGTGACCCCTGCCCCGGCTGATGACGAAACCTGGCCTGAGCGGAGATGCAGTGATGGCTGGCAGCGCTGGGGTACGCGGCCGGGTCTCCCTGTGGGTGGACGCGTGACCCTTGACTGCTTCGGCCCCTGGCCCCCAGCCCCCATGCAGCTCCCAGGACCTAGGCCTACCGGCCTGGTCACCTCGCTGAGCTCTCTGCCGGGTCCCATCCCCAGTGTTCCCACTCAGTCTTCCCTGTGGAGGCCCATCTCTCCCGCGCTGAGGCCGTCTCTGAGTGAGGGTGTGTGCAGCAGGAAGAGCCTCCCGTGGAGTAGGTTGGGGGGGCAGGGGACAGGTGGCAGGGAGCAGCTTCACATCCCAGACCGCACGCCCCCCCACTTCTGTGGTTCTGAGTGGGCCTTGGCAGCAGCCCAGGCCCGGAAGGGGCGTTCATTCCTTGGCAGCATCGTCTAAAGGCCCTCTCTGCAGTTGACCCTGAATGGTGCTAGAGTGAGGTGGGGAGGCGGCCCGGCTCAAGGCCTATGCACACCAGGATGGTTAGAGTGAGCAGGAGGGAGGCAGCCCCAGTCAGGCTGCCCGGGTTCATCTCCAGGGGCCTGCCGGAGGACCGGCTCTCGGGTTTGTAGTGTCAGCCACGGTCTGTGGTTTAGATCCTGCCACCATAGCTGGCTTCAAGGTGCCAGCGCGATGCCCCGCAGCAGACTTGGGATGAGACGTGCACCCTTAGCACCGTGGAGCCGGTGTGAGCCAGGACTAGCACGTCCCACTGTGGCCTCCTGTGCTTGTGGGGAAGCGGGAAGGCCTAATGGTGAGAGTATAGGCCCCAGAGTCCGGCTGCTCAGGCGGGCCTAGCTCTTGCCTCTGATCAGGTAAGCTAGGGCAGTGCCCCAGTCTCCCTTGTAGAGTGAAGAGAACCAGTCTTGGGGTGGGCGTGGGGCTCCTAGGAGGGAGTAGGTCTGGGAAGCCAGGCACCTGGGGCTGATGGCTAAGAAGGCAGCGAAGGCCCCGAAGTACAGAGTAGAGCCCAGTGTGGGGTAAGTGGGAGCTGTGGTGGGCGGGGGGGGAGGAGGTGGCACAGGCTGGACACAAAATGGACACAAAAGTGGGTCACATCGGCTGGCACACAGGATGCAGGCATCTGATGGCAGCCATTGCTGTCACTGCTGTCTTATGGTCCACAATTCACCAGGACATTCTGCAGATGCATTTCCCGATTCTCAAAAAACCACATGCCTGCTGGGGGGCTGGAGCCGACACAGAGTCCCACGTCTGGCCGCCCCAGCATTTCCCACTGGAGCCCGTGCACGCGGGAGGACCACCTGAAGTGTGGGAATTCTGCTGGACGCCCGAGGGGACCACAGTGACAGCCAGCCTCCCTGTGGTCGAGGATGTTGGGAAAGAAGGGAGATAAGAGGTCACCTTCCTCCTACTCGTCGAACGGTTCAACTTTGGGGGCAAAAGGGGGACGTTTCCGAGGTCAACAGGGTGATGCTGTGTCAGGGAAAGTGTCTCCCAGGTGGCTGGCTAGAGGCGTGGGTCTGTGGCCCCATCTGCCCCACCCCCTGGACACACCTCTGCTGGCTAAGGGTGACATAACACTGTTCCCTGTCACTCTGTTCCCGCTTATCTCCCGTCTTGTCGGCGCCACCACCTTCTTGGAAATGAGTTGGGACAAAGGGGAGGGGGCTTAGCACCCCCGCCTCCCCCAGAAGGGCCCATAAAAGCAGCTGAGCCGGGACCCCAGACACCACAGCAAGTCCTACACCCGACAGCAGGACAGCCAGCCAGACAACACGATGGCCCTGAGCACACAGGTCCAGGCCGCCTGCCTCCTGCTCCTCCTCCTGGCCAGCCTGGCCGGTGGCTCCGCTCTCCGGCGAGAGGTGAGAGCCCACAGGGCCTGGGACCACGGTGGCCAGGACAGGAGAGCCGGGCCCTGGGTGGAGGGAACTGCTGAGGGCAGCTGGAGACCCCTTGGCACCGGGCCGAGCTCAGGGCAGGGAACGGGGGTGGGGGGATGGATGGCTGCCTGAAGTACAGAGATAAGCGGCCCAAGGATCGGACTGGAGGCCCCGAACTAGTTCCACAGATACCGAGTGTCTGCTCCGTGTTAAGTCCTTTCCTAGTCAGTGGGGATCACGCAGCAAACAAGGTAGATGAGAAAAGAGTTTTGCTCTCATGGAGTTCATGTCCCAGCCGGGGAATTCGTCCGTCAACAATGAAAACAGAAATAGGATAACTGTTGAGTCAATGCTGAATAACAGAAAATGGTGATGGTAGTAGCCACAGGGGTGGGGGGTGAAGGGAGGACTTCCGACGGATCAGGGGCTGGAAATCGAGCCACAGTGGTTTGTGAGAAATGAAATTCGATCTGGGACTGGGTGGTCTGGACAAGAGGAAGGGGCAGTAAGCGAAGACCCAGGCAGGGGGCAGTCAGGTGTCCGAGGATCGGAGGCTGTAGTGAGTGGAGAGGATGCTGCTTGGAGATGAGACTGAGGGGCGGACTGTGCAAGTACTGACTTTCCTTCACGTGCGAGGGCAGCTCTGCAGGCTAGTTTTTTTTTTTTTTTTTTTTTTTGGTTTTTTTTGGAGAGCACTTGCGTGGGTGCTGGGGTGCCGGGGTGCTGGGGCGAGGGGAAGAGGGAGAGACTCTTGAACAGGCTCCACGCTTTTAATCTGACTGATAAGGCATGAGGAACAGAACGGACGGGGCAAGATGCAGGGAGACTTGTTACAGGCGGGGCTGGCACCCGGGGCCAGGGAGAGCCATGTCCCCAAGAAGAGAGAGGAGACAGATCTGGGATGTCTGCAGGAAGAACTGCCGGAGGGAAGGGGAGAAAAGACAGCAAGGCCACTCCTAGGTTACCGGCTGAGCCCCAGGACACTGACTACTTGGGGAGGAGCTTGTCTTTGGGGGCAAGTCTGAGAGCTCCATGTCCCCTACCATCTTCACCACTCATTCTGCTCTCGCAGACAGGACAGCTCACGGACCTCCAACCCCAGGACACAGTGGGAGCTGAGGCTGGCTTGACGGTGAGAGCACCTGCGAGTCCCTTCTGAGCCTCCCCATCCCTTCCCTGTGCCCGAGCTCTGCTCACTCTCCCTTCCTCCCCACAGCCCATGCTCCAGAGGCTAAGGAAGCGAGACACCCACTTCCCCATCTGCATGTTCTGCTGCAACTGCTGTAAAAACCAAAAGTGTGGGATGTGCTGCAAGACGTAGAGCCTCCCAAGCCTGCCCCCGGACCTCCCCTCCCCTCCGTATTTATTCCTGCTCCCTCCCCCCCGACTCTCAGTAAATGGACTTGGAATAAAATGACTGGTTCTGTCTGTTGTTTTCCATCCCAGAGTGTCTGTTGCCCTTTCTCCCCACCCAAGGCCAATGCCAGAGGCTTGTTCTGGCCCCTGTCTTGTAAGGGCCGGTGCTCCATGGGGTGTGCAGGGCTCATGTGAGCTGGGTTTGGCAAGGAGGCTTGGTGAAGGAAGTTTGTTCCCTGTTCCACCCCCACCCCCCCAGGAGGGGCTGGAAGTTAAGCCCAGTTGCCTCTCCTCGAACTCTTCTTGAAACGGGGGTAACAAGTTCAGATACCCCACAAGGGTTCCCAGAGCAAGGTCTGAGGACTCCTCACAAGGCTCCACACGGTGGAAACTACAAAACCGTCATTTGCCTTTTTCACCTCCCTTCCGTGACACGGGACAACCTCATCGCTCTGATGGTAATGGGTTATGCACTCGTGTGTCCTCTTGCTGTAACAGGGTCCCGGCCTCAATTTCGAATACATTGAGCAGGTATAGATACAACCCACATAAACACGAGTTGTTTTGGAGTCCTGGAAAATTTTGCAGAGTAGAAAGGAGTCCTGACACCAAAGAGTTCGAGAAAAAGCAATGACCTTCCAGACAGGCACAGTGAATGAGGGAGGAATGGTGGGTTTGTTTCAGAGGAGCACGTGGGAAGCTCTGTGATCTCAGTAAGGACACACGCACCTGACCCACTGGGAGAACACCCATCACCTCCATGAGGAGATAAGTTCCTTTCCATTGTTCTTGGGGCCATATCCCTCTCAATTTATCCCATTTCCCCACTTCTGATAGAAACAGAGAAATCCATTTTACTATCTTCTCAGCTCCTAAGAAAACATCGGCACTAGCATGGTGACAAGGGGCCTTGGCCGTTTGGCCCCAGTGTTTTGTATCCATAGGGAGGCCTGGGTATCCAAAGGGGGACCGGGAGATGGCAGTCGTGCCCAAAGGCGGGCCAAAGACGGCTAAAGCTTCTTTTCAAGAGAAGGCAGCTATGCTTATTTTTATGTGAAATTTCCTGATTTTTTAAAATATCAGCAACTGATTAAAGGGATTTTATTTGTTGTAATCCACACTTTCTGAGTCAAAGTAAACCCAGCCAGGGAGCCAGATCTGTCCTGGATACAGCTACTCTCTACCTTCTGCCTTGGAAGCCATGAAAGGCTCGTCCTCTGGGAGTTATTTTCCTGAATGGAGGCTGAAGAGTGGGGGGAGGAAGACGAGGCAGGCCGCTTGGTCTCCCATTAGCTGCGGTATCTCGCAGGCATCTTCTCTCCACTGAGACCCCGCCTCCTCATCTGAAAAAGGAGAAGTGTCTCTAGTATTCAGTTTATCGGGTGGTTTAGCTGCTTATGAGTTATGAGTTGAGCTGTGTCCACCCCTCACACTTAATTTCTTTTTAATATTTATTTATTTTTGAAAGAGAGAGACAGAGAGGCTTGCACAAGTAGGGGAGGGGCAGAGAGAGAAGGAGACACAGAATCTGAAGCAGGTTCAGGCTCTGAGCTATCAGCACAGAGCCCGACATGGGGCTTGAATCCACAAACTGTGAGATCATGACCTGAGCCAAAGTCGGATGCTTAATCGACTGAGCTACCCAGGTGCCCCCCACTACCCCCTACATTTAAATGTTGAAGTCCTAACTCCTAGGATTGTGACCTGACTTGGAAACAGGGTCTCTTTAGACATAATCAAGTTAAAATGAGGTCAGTAGGGTGGATCCTAATCCAATAGGGCTAGTGTCCTTATGAAAAGCAGGGATTTGGACACAGAGGCCTGTATACAGGAAGAACACCATGTGAACATGAAGACCGTCACCTAAGAGCCAGATCTATGAGCAGATCCTTCCCCCCAGCACTCAGAACTGAGCCTGCCAACATCTTGACGTCAGACTGCAGGCTCCAGCCCTGGGAGACAATCAATTTCTGTCTTTTGAGCCACCCGGTGTGTGGTACTCTGTCACAGCAGCCCTGACACACCTGCTGGGTTTGGAAGGCACAGCTGGATCAGAGTGGTGGCTCCCCCTTTAGACAGGCTCAGGCTCCCCAGCTCCCCATCCTCCTGCGGCCTGGGGACCCAGGATTGCAGATTTCAGCCTGGTTGCCAGTGCTCTCTGTGGATGAACTTGCCTGTGCATCCTACCCACCCCCGAGACAGCCTTTGGTTCACACCTAAAGAGGAGATGGACCCGCAAACTGCACAGATACATGCCCCCAGTGGGGTTGGTGTTGAGGCTGAAGGCTGTGACATATGAGTAGCCCAGAAGCTCAGTGTCCTCCTCCAGAGCCCAGGCACCAGGCCCCTCTCTTCTCTAGGACCCAGGCGTTCAAGCCCCACCCCACTCTCAATGGGCCTTTGTCCCTGTCTGGGAAAGGCACGGGCAGAGTCTGACATCATGAAGCTTGAGGTGGGGGTGGGACTCCCCCTCCCCCTCCATCCAGCTTTCTCTGACTCCACACGCCTGGGTCTGAGGGATTTCCCTGCCCCTCACCCTCCCCATCCTGGCCAAGTTCTCCCTTGGGAGAAAGGAGCCCCTGTCCCCCTCATTCCCCCAAAACTGCTTTGGCCTGAAGGAGGACAGAAGATGTGCCGGTGTGACTGGACAGCTCCTGGTCAAACCATTACTACTTAATCATGGCGCTACCAGCTCCCTCCACCCGCCTCTCCCCGTACAAGCACCCTGCAGAGGTCACGACCAAAGAGGATCGCTGTGGAATCTGGAATCTATACACAAAGGGTCCTCACCCAGCTCAAAGAGTAAACAGAGCCCTCGATAAGCCCCTCTCTGCCCCAGGCACTGTTCTAGGTGACAGACAGTGAACTGGACAGACAGGCAGAGACCCTGCTCTCCGGGAGCTCCCGTGCTGGTGTGGAAGGAGCATGCCCAGAGCGCAGTGGGCAAGGGTGCAGAGGGCTCTGGAAGGACAGGGCCATGTTTGAATGGAGGGGCTTGGCTTGGTGAGACGGGCAGGGCAGGCGTCCAGAGGAAGTGGCGTCCAAGCTGGGAGTGTACAGACCGCACAGGCTGTGGCCAGTGGCCGAGTGGGGAGCGGGATGAGGTAGGGGGACCTGTCCAGGAAGAAGGAACAAGTATGTGCAAAGGTCTCCAGGTAGAAGCGCCACTGGGTATTTGAGCGACACATTCATGCACCTGCTCTGGGGTTATAAAGCTCAACTCTGTGCCAGGAGCCACTCTACAAACAGGACAGACTGGGGATAAGCAGGCAAAGTCCTCCTTCTGGAGGCCAAGGTCTCATGAGAGAAGGCAGTCAATCCATACGGTCATTTGTGATGGCAAGAAGAGCCTGGAAAATAGACTAGGATGTGGGCACCAAAAGTGACCCTGGGAAGCGATTCAAGAGAGGGTGGAGGTGATGCTGAAGCCAAGAGCAGGCAGGTCCTGTCTGCCCCTGCTCACGCCCTGTGTGGCCTCTTGGGACTGAGGTTATACCTGCTCTTGCCACCGACCTCCCCTAGACACTGAGGACAAGGCCTTCTGTGTCTCGGCCTGAGACTTCTAGAGTTATTAGAAGGCCCGCCCAGGGACCCAGAGCTAGGGTGCTCAGTGATGGAGGAGGGGGGACAAGTGAGGCTGCTTCCTCCCATCCCCTCCAGGAAGGAGCGAGTAGAACCCAGGCGTCAGGCTGCCCAGTTCCAGCGGTGGTGACAAGGGCCCCTTTGTGCCCCCCTCCCTCGGGGGCAGGGAGGAGCTGGGCCCTGGAGGCAGGCGGCCCCTGGCACCCGGGGGGAGGGGACGGGCTGGCAAGTGGGGGGCTGGACCCTGGGAGACCAGGGGACTGTGAGCTGGGCCGGTGGAGCAGAGGGTGCAGAAGCAAGAGCATCCAAGTGAGTACCGCGGCCAAGAGGGGCCACCAATGAGGTGGAGGGCAGGGGACTGGGGCTGAGGGGGGCGGCAAGGGGCACCCGGAAGCATGCGTAAGGCCAGGTGCTCCGGGCCATGGATGGTCACCAGCAAGGGCAACCATTTTAGGATGGAGCGGGGTACTGCTCGGGAGTGCTTTGGGAAGGGGCTGGGACCACGGCAGGGACAGTGAAAGGGCTTAGGGAAGAAGCCACAGAGAAGAGGGACGAAGGGCCCTCCTCAGCATCCCCGCGGTGGGCGTTCTACGGGAAAGGCCGCCCTAGGGCTCCTGAGGTCGACGGAAGTGGTCTGGGGCAGGTGATCAGATACCTGCATCCTGCTGTCTGTGAGGGGGTGGGGGTGGGGCGCTGCGAGTGAGCAAGTTCTAGCGCCTGGTGCCACAGGCGTGCGTATGTGTGCACGTGCCCGCACACACACACCTCCCCTGGGTCAGCCTTGATCTACATCGGTGTTCCTCAACCTTGTTCTCGTTACACCCCACTAAGGAAAAGTTGCAGACCGTGTTTCCCACTCCCGCCACGGAATGTTATTACTGCAGATATACCGTATGTGTGTTAATGCACTGCGGCCCTTTCGAGACTTCAGACTGCATTGTAACTGCTAAGACTTTTCTGGCCCGCACCCCAGGAACCAGTTTTTACCCCCCATGAAAATCTGGTGGTCTACAAGCTTGTTTCACAAGTCAGCCTGGGTCCTGTGGCTGGCCCTCACCTGTGTCAATCTCCTGTGCCTTCCTGTCACAGGGGCGAGGGTGGCATCGGCCACGTGTCCATCAGGGTGTGTCTGTCCTTAGCTACACCCCAGTGTGTGTGTGGGTCAGTGTCCCTTTGTGAGCCTGGCCAGCAGGCAGGTCCATGCGTGCGCCTGAATGCCGTGCCCACGCCAGCCCAGGTGTGGGCCACGCAGCATGCTTCTGGGACTGTGTGTGTGTCAGCGCGTTCTACGGGAGCAGGGGTCTCAGTGCCTGTCTGCGGGTGCAGGGCTCTGACCAGTGTGCGCCCGAGTCTCTGCCGTGTGAGCCTATCCTTCTGGTCGGGTCTAGGTCTGTCACATTTCGTAGCAGCATTTGCATGTGTCTGACTGTGCATACGTCTGTGTCCGTGGGAAGAAGGGCAGCGGAGGCCAGGAAAGGCAGCCACTTGGAAACACTGG